AATGTGATCCCCTGGCAATAGTACATTATTGTGCTAGGCTCTAGCGCACACGTAGTTAGTACTAATACATTAAACTAGAGTCTGCATCGTAGATCTCTATTAATAGAATCGTAATTACCATAACGATTTTCAATCAATGGATTAAATCATAGGTGTTATCCTTGTAATTTTATTAAAATTTCATCAATGACAAATATATGTGTCGATAACAACAGATATTGCGCATTTTATATGCAAATAAAATTTTTGCAAAATGACAGAAATATTACAAATGCAACAGAGATATGTACTGAAATCGTAAAAATTTGTCGCAGGCTATTTATCCCACGTAAAATATTTACTGTCTCTCTGTTTCGGCATTATCGTGAATTACATTAAAATAAGGTGGAAAGTATACAAAAGCAAACATTTTAATCGCACGTAGCATTATTTGCTGTAAATATACAGATATTTTGTAAATGAATATATTTGTTTGCACAAAGTGAAACACATTATTGTAAAAACAAAGAAGTAGAATATATTTTATCGGAGGAGTATGGTGTTATGTTGTGAGATAAAACAGCGTTCATTGCGTTTTGTAATTCGCGCGACTATATATGTTTTGCATATTTCAGGCAATGTCAATTTCCTGAATCAATATAGGCATTGCAACATACCAAGATATTCCAGGTAACAAAAGCAATTTGGACTATTCCCCGTGGCAAATGAGGCGCCTCTGATTAACACACATTGGCTCAATTACACGGGTTAGCCGAGGGAACACGAAATTGCCTGCTATTAACGGTGGCGCAAGGGTGGATAGACATACGAGATATATCAGCTGGATAACACGACGATACGTTGAAAGCCATAGAACGTAATGGGAAACTGCGGAACAAAATGTTTCACTATTTTCTTCCTTTGCGCTAATTTAAGCCCACCAATGCAGTTCACACGCGCATTTCGTTCGCCGAGGCAAACCGCCGAATTAATAGCCAAAGTGGCATCCCGCGTAACGAGCTCAGTGAAGTACTTCAAATTATAAACGTCGATTGTAAAAGGCAAAAAGACTAACGGACTTAATAACGGTTAATTCCCAAAAAGAATCTTTCAACGATAAAAAATACTTCGCTCATTACAACTTGAGCAGTTTACTCGTTATTATAAATAAGATACCACGCTTTCGGAACATCAAAATAATAGTTTTAAATTTTTTATACTTTTTATATATTTTAGAAAAAAAGAATAATTCTCAAGAAGTTGTTTCATGAATTGTTTCTTGAGAAAATGTCAAAGACTTTTTAAGCGGATTACGCAAATGTCACAATAAAATACAGAATGATTCGAATTAGTATTCATAATCAGTAGCACTCAATTTTCTCAAAACTGTCGAGTACAATGAATAAATAAAAAAAATATAACAAACAGTATCATAACGAAAAAAAAAATATTATCGTACAAATGTGCATCTAAAAGACAAGATTCTCTCTCAAAAACTTGTAAAAATTATTATACGACTTACTCTTGTTGCCAGACCTCGTTCTTCCTCTCACTCCTCTCAAGCACTAAAACAATAATAATAAAGTTTTTATTACAAAAATGCAAATTAATCAAACTATAACTAATAAGTCTTAAATATTATTGTAAATATGAATCTCAGATTCATATTACAATATTTTTGCTCAGAAACAAAATTAATCTTCAGTAATATCATTTAACAAATAGATCTTGAAAGTTGAACTTATTATTATGTCATATTTGCAATTCGATTAAGATACTCAAAGTTTGTCCTAAGATATAGTCTGAATTTTATTTCTTACGATTCAATATAAATTGCTTGAAAAAGAATTGTATATACATACATCATAACTTTAATTCTCCCTTGAATAATAACAATAAATTAATTCAAATAAAATAGTCTTTTAATTAAAATAAAAATAAACTTTATTACTTCAATAATAGGTTTAACAATTCTTCTTAAACAGTATCTGCAATCAACTATTCAAACTGTTACTAAAAGTATATAATAATTACACACACATTTTTCTTTTTGTTAGTAATATAGATGTCGACCGAATTGACGCAAATTCTCTCATGAGAATTAGGATTCAATAGTATTTAAAATATTCTCTTATTTAAACAGAATTAATCGTTAATTTAGAAGATGCTAATAAATTTACAATTACAAAACAAAGCCCAAAATATTTGCAGAGAGTATCGGCTTATTTATTAAAATTAATTTAAAATGGAATATTCGACGTAATGACGTTTTTCGAAACAAATTGAGATATTCCTTACGACTTACATTAGTAAAGTAAAAATCGAAACGACAGAGGATGTAAATTATGGATTATAATTTCACGATATTTATAGGTAATAATACTCTTTTTAATGGCATTGGGTTTAAATACTGTATAGAGTGTTTAAAAAAACCATTTAGCATTTATATGGTGAATAGTGCACAGTATGTACTATTTATCATATGAATGCTGAATGGTTTTTTTTAACACCCTATATATTTAAAATCAATATGGTATATATTTAAATCCAAATGTCGCAATAATTGTCTCATAAATATTGTATCACGCTTTAAATTTCTATGCTAATGTAATTTGGCTATTACTATTTTGAGATTGATAGTGCGGAATAATATGTGAATCACTGAATCGAGTAACAAGAAGCAACGTTATATTAATTATGTGTTAATAATTAGTTTGAAATACAAAGAACAGAATATTCAGTATATAGTTATTTCATTTGTGATAATGTGAGACTGGTTGGTATATGGTTTTGATATTTGTTTTAGTAACGTTCGCTGCGCGCTGTCGTATCGCAACACTGTTATATATTATATATATAGATATAACTTAAATATAATACATATCAGTCGCAAAGCCACTATGTATTGTCATTCGCACGATGAGATTCGTGTCGACAGGAAAGCCACTCTGTTGCTCTACTGTTACATAATATTTCTTCAAAACACTATTATTTTCTGCAAGCAGTTAACTACCATCAACTCGCATTTAATTAACTCCCGCGATTAACGGCAGTGTAAATATATCGGAAATTTATCGAAGTACTTCACTGATTTATTTATTTTGAGTAACGATAAGAGATGAGAATTATAAATTTTATATACGTGTATATATATATATATACCTATATTATTATTATTACTTTTTTGTTATTTTCTTGAAACTGAAATTCTAATATATCTGGCATTTCGAATTTTCGATACGTAATTTATTCGACCCTTTCAAATAGAGAGTGCGGAGTAATATGCGGATCAAATAATTAAAGTAATGGAAGACTGCGATATATCATTGATATCTATATTTTATTGGACTTTTGCATTTGAAATATATTGCGCACGCAAATGCTGAATTTCGATTTTATTTTTTTGGATGATTAACCATTAACTTGATTTTATTACTCGTATTTGTTTAGTTATAATTATTACTCGTTACGTAAGAATTCCAGCGTTCACTTTCAAATTGTTTTAGTTATAAATTGTGTATATGAAACGTGAATGAAACATCATATTTAATTAATAAGTACAACCACACACATAATTACATAATTATATTCATTTTATATTTGTCAGTTATACAGAATGTAAATTTTGAAGTTTTTTTTATATATATAATTTGATAAAATTTTTTGCCATTTAAAATTCCGTTAGTTCTAATTTATATGATTTATGGATAGGAATTATAAGCTTTCATACTTTCTTCACGTTAATTTCTGGTCACAATATTGTATAATAGAAAAACATACATCATGTTTGATTAAAATCGAAAGTGCAAAGTTACGATTACGATTAGCCGTGTTTTTGTGAGTGCAACAAATAAATTTTAAAAATAGACCTGTGAGGCCTCCACATCACACCACCACTTTTCATAATTCGCTGAACATAACATTAATTTATCATTAATCAAAATGCTGCATTTGTTGAATCATTTCTATCTCAAATCAATACTTTATTATGAGTCTGGTTTTTCGATACAAGATTTATATAATAATTGTGAATAAAGGCCTCATTTTATATTCGACTAGAACAAAATATTTGAATAAGAAATCATTTTAAAACGTGACTTTGTCACCATTTTTCTTAACAAGTGCATTGAACAAGTGAATTAAAGAAGATATTGAATGTTAGCGGTTGATGGGATCATTTTAAAAATTATAACGATCAGAAATTATAACGATAATACAAGTGATATTTTATCACAACTTTATGTGATTGTATTATTTAATTAGAATAATGTATTATTTAATTATAATTCTAGATTATACTCCAAAATGTCCTCTCTGAAGAAAATTTTACTCAAAATATAGCAAGCATACGTATATTATATTGCATCTAATAAAATTTTCGTCGGAAAAGACGTTTTGAAGTGTAGTTGTAATATCTTCCAAAAAAATTCCATAATGGCGTAATGATTGAGAGATCGAAAGCGACTCGATTCGATAAAATACAAAACGCGTTGCCTATAATATGCGGGACAACACAATTAATTACTCACGTTGCGAACGCTGTTGGAACGATGCCGATTGCATACTTCCATATGATTAATTTCGAGCGATTACGAATACAACGGCACAGATTTTACGAAGCACCCATTTCGCGTTACGTGTCGCATTACGCTTGATTTTAGATTCGAATTTTATGTCGTCATAGTTCGCTTTTTACGGAACAGAGCGCGCTACTTTCTGTTTACCGACTGCTTTCATGTTGGTAACTCATAGATTTTGTTGAAGGATAAAATACCGACTTTTATTGACCAACCTTGAAGTCAAAAAACTTCCAGCAAATGAGAAAATCGAGACGTAAAACGCTAAATTAATAAATTTTTTATTATTTTATCGTTAATCTTTAGCGCTTTTCTTCAAAAGCCGCTAACATTCGCCAATATTTTGTTTAATTCTCCAATAAAAAATTTGAGATTTATTTTGTCAATATATAAATTTATTTAAAAAGTTTTTGTGTACCTTCACATCACTTTATTTCTAATAAATTATTTATTATCACATAACAAAGCGACTCCCCGCAATATCCAGTGATCAGGATGTTTTAGAGTTTGCAGCCAGAGCGATGTTACTAGCAAGATATAAGTCCTCTGAGGTTTCTTATATACGGGACACTGTGCAAAAAATGTTTGAAAGATATATTATATATATATATATATATATATTAATTGTAATGATTATATAATCATTATATAATCATTTATTTAAATTAATTATTATAATTAAATTGAAATTTGTGTTATACTTACCTGATATAATTTCAAGCCTTTATTTAGAACAGGAAGCTTGTCCAGATTATGTAAAGCGTAGATATGTATTATTGGCATTAATACATAAAGGACTTTATTTGCCGATTCACACAAGCGGATATGTCTTCGGTCCCAGCCGGCACCCTCGAGAAATAGGCCATAGATATAAACACCTTCCTATTTCGTGAACATCAATATCATTAATTATCGTAAAGTAATTTTGTGTATATATTGTGTAATTATCAATTGCATACTGGTGGTGGTGCCTTGATCTCTTCCGCTACTTTATTTAAGAAACTTTTTTTACGCTGGGGGAGCCATTATTATATTTGATTAACACTAGAACTGCTTATGGTGCCATTTTGATTCCGCTAATTATTTGCATTTTTATCTTTTTTATATTAAATATATAGTATAAAAATACATTGAAAATATATTGAAAATACAATATATATATGAATATGACATAAATAATTTTAATAATATAAATAATATTAAAATAACTTTCTTTTTACTAATCAAAAACAAGAATAAGAAATTATCAAATTGGTATCTGCGGCAGTTTTAAAAGAATACCATCGACGGTTCTAATATTGTGTTGAACGCGTTCAACATAAAAATATGTATATTAAATACCTTGTGGATTGAAGAAGCCAGTCATCCAGAACTTTGATGGTCTCCCGCTCTGCAGCCAAGTCGAAAACTGTTGGTTCCTCTCCAACAATTCCGTAAACCAGAATCCCAAAGAAACAGACTCCCACGATCGAGCCTTCCAGATCCTCGGTATCCTAGCATCGTATATATTGTCGAAGACGTCTCGCAAGTCCTGAAAATATATTCATATTTATTCACCTTACTGCGCTTTATATAATGATTGTAATGATAAGGGGGAGCCTAAGAAAATTACCTCGCTCATTATAATTATGCCTTCTATGGCCAACAAAAGATCTTTGAGCATAATGCGTATTAATTTTATAATTATCTGTATTCTGTCGATCTCTTGTTTTAAAAAAATGTTCATTGGTGCGGTATGATCCATGGCTTGCAATCTATGATAGTTAAAGCACTTATTATTTTCTTAATCATTTTTATTAAAAGAAACTATAAAAAATAATTGATAATAATAAATTAATTTAAATCACTATATAATTAAATCGAATAAATAAAGAAAAAACCTTCAGTAGAAGAATTCTAGATTTTCAGTAATAATGCTTTTATATGTGAATTCTATATATCTTTTAAATCAGGAGACACAGTAATGTCTTGGTACTAAGAGCACACGTCGCGTATAAATTACAATTATTGTATATCACTTATTACTGAACTTGAAACGCAATCATAAATTGAAACTAAAATAATAATAATAATATCATAATGAAATTGTCAATTTGATATTACTAACATCTTAACACAGTAAAGAACCAAGCCTCTACCATATTAGTTCCTTCTTTACTTTATTTGAAATAATTAATAATTAAAATAATTGAAGGACAACAGATAATTGATTAACCTTTCTTTAACTTCAAACATGTCATACAGTTGCGGTACTTTTTCTAGCATTTCCTTCGCGTGTCTTCCAACAACCACTTCTCGGGATTCTACACCAACGGCACCCGCTTCTTTCGGTTGCACGGATATTATTGTATCTAACACAATCTGTGTGGTGTTACTCTGATACCTATGATAAGCATGATTTTTTTGATTTATTTTACATAACTGATCTTACATATCTATAATTCTCGCGATAATATCTTACGTAATATCTGCATTTGGATGTAAACCATATACTTGTGGCGAATCCACGGGACTCATAATATCTATCGCCTTCAGATAGTCGCTTACTTGCTTTAATACCAAAAGTGGATAACCTTTGTAGAAAACAAAACCTTCCGCGAAAAGCGCTTCCGTAAACCACAGTTTTGCGAAGGTATTTAATAATCTCTTATCGTAGTCATCTGTAATGCGTCCACCATATTGCACTTCGCCTATCATGTAACTGAAAATGCAAATATGCAGAGCGAATTAGTCTCTAAGAGAAAGAAAAAAAAAGCACAAGTAGAACAAAAAGTCATGATGGCATCAAAAGAGCTCTTGATTATTAAAAATGATTTTTCAATTACGATCCATATCAGTCACATCAATCATATCATTTTGACGTTACTTTGATGTTATCATAACCTGTTGTTTTACTTGGGAACTGATATAATTTAAACTTTTACCGCACGCTTTGCCAATTTATACCACGCTTCGGATCGTAATCATTTAAATGATTATTCATGAAAATGCAAGATGCCAGCCAGTCCGCGGAATTAAATTCGTAAGGTATGTTCCATCCTAAGGGACCAAACTTCCGTCTTTCCTGAACAATGGTATGTAGGAATGATACGGTGTATATCAGTGGTATATATTGCGGAGCGTCACACTGGTCCAATATTTCCTGATTCATACTATTGTACGTCGCCAATAAACTCGCGCGTATTCCTAACGTGGAAATCACACCTTGATTATGCCACTCTTACTTCCTTACATAAGAATATATCCCTGGTAGGAAGCAGATGTTATTGTCATCATTTTGACATCAAAATATCGTCATAAATGTCATTTTGACATCAAATAGTGACAAATGACGTTAGCTTGCTATCTGGGATCTTTATTTAAGTAAATAGAAATAGATGCCCTGCGGTGGTTCATATGTATATTTTATAGACGTCTGTAGTAAGGAAATAGGAAAATCTTTGTGCGGTTCCGTCGTGATCCATATGCGAAAGTCTGGATGCGGCGTTTCCATTTCTAAAAGAAAGTTTACCAATTCCGTCATATACTCCAAGCCTAAATGACAATTCTGGCATAATACCCAGAAACCCTGCAAATGAAATGGTTGAAATTAATAACGCTTCGCAACAAGAGAAAACGAAAATTTTCTTCTCTATAGTATACTTCAGTTTTCGCGCTAATAAGCAGTCGACGAGCATGAACTTCTTGACCTTGTCCCATCGATATGCTTCTACAAATAAGTTCCATTCTCTTTGCAAGCTGCTCGATGTAAGGCGTGGGATCCGATCCCATGCTTAAGAAACAGATCATTGGCGTATTTGGTCTTGATTCACTATGCATTACATCGAGAAGCGTCATCACAGGCTCTGCAAATCTTGCTCCTAAGGAAAATGCTATATATTTCCTTGATTGCGACAGCGTTCTATCCATACACCAAGCTCTGCAAACATATTATTTTACATATTTTTTCGCATATTATTTTATTGTATATAAACATCAGTCTTTCTAGCAAACTTTAATCTATAAATCAATATAAATAATAAAAAGAGTTACGAGCCAGTTAAAAAATATTAAATGTTCTTAAATTTAACTGGCTCATAGCCTTTTTTTATTATTTATATTGATTTATTCTAATTGCCATTTTATTAATTTATATTGAATCTATAACTTGTCTGAAAGATAAAAGAAAGTACTGAAAAATATAAGAGATTACACTTTCATGATTTTGAACTGTGTCAGTATATTTTAACAATAAATATTAAATTTTATATCATAAAATATTATACGATAAAAAAATGAATTTATTGTATAAATTTTATACAATAAAAAATGAATTTTTTATTTGTATATCTAATAAATCACATCTAATAAATCTTTGTATTTTGTATGCATAATCTTCAACTATAGCAATGACATTTAGATCTGAAACAAAAAATTTGTGGACTATTGTACAATTTGTACGATTGATATTATAAGATTCTAAATTGTAGGTGAAAAAACTTTGAATCCTACTTTATTAATTGCCATAAAACGAAAATTCATTTGTACTTTAAACAGGATGCTATAAAACTCAGGTGTAATTTTCGTATTCTAACAAAAAAAAATTGTTCATTTGACTAAAATAATTTATTTTGTCTTTATTTTTTTAATAAAAAATGTAAGTTTAATCAAATATATTATATTTGATTAAAATACATACATTTTCCAACAAGAAAGAAATTAAGACAACTAAATTAATTAGGTAAATAAATAGTTAATTTAATAAAAATTTTTTGTCTTAGTGCAATTATTCAGAGTTAATCACATTTTTTAAAAGTATCTGTCTTGTACTTTTTATTAGAGATGTTCAAAAACTTCCCAGAATATATTTCATAATTCATATTTCGTGTTTTACATATAAAATATTAAAATCTTAATTATAAATTTCTTGTATTATGTGCTAATTCTAAATTTTTACTGCAGTGAAGATTACTTTAATGGAAGATTACCTTATCAAAAGCAATCGCCGGAATGCATCCAACGTGTGATAACCATTTGGTATAACTTCCTCCTCTGGTGCATCTTTGTCGTACCAATGTTTCCAAACTTTCTCAGAAGCGGATACTTGAGCCACGATATATTGAAATTGTCTTAATAACGACAGCGCAACTAGATTAAGCCACGTTACATCCGTGATCCATTTACAAGGTTTTGGCTCAATTGCTTTTAAATCCAGCGCTGCGCCACCTTTAATAAAATACTGAAATTCCTCATGTGTGATGCTGTTGCGTTGCAGATCAATTTTCAATGTCATCAACAAAATGAACATATATTTATGTATTTCGTAAAGTCCTCGTGATTTGTACTTAAAGATGTCGTAAGTCAAAAATTCGATGATATAATTTATTCTTCTCTGATTGACTGGGCTCTTCTCGGACCTGAACAAAAATCACGATTTAATACACATTACTCAACAGGATAGGATTCATATTTACAACATTAGGAACATCTGTCGTAGCACAATCTCCACAATGTAAACCACTAGCGTTTTACACAGAAACTATCTGTGTATATTTACCTATCCAATGAGATATCAAATCGTTCTAAGAATTGAACAAGGGAAGTTTGGTACATGCAATTGACATGCGGCATGTCACATATCAAGAAGTACAAAACGCTACCACGCGTTGCAACCGGTCGAAATTCTTCACGTGCTGCATCGATTTTTAGTTCCGTATCTTTTGCGATGATCAATTTTTGGTGTATCTCCGTCGCTGTTTGTTTCGTGATATTCAAAACCGACATTAATTCCACATCTTCGATTAAAGGACCCTTTGAAAGAATAAAAAAATAGCATAGAAAGATATTATTAATTGTACTTATTTCACAGTTATTTAATTAGCGCTACAAAGAAATTATATACATACTACTACAGTTCCCAATTTGTGTAGAAGATTCGTTTCTAATTCTTTAATTTTTCTATTATTCGCAGTTACATCAGCAATCAATTGCATTTTTTCTGTCTCCAACTCTTTTTTCTCTATTAAAATGACCCTTCCCAATAATTGATCCTCTAGACCTGTTAAAATAAGGTATATTGTAAATTAAATTATATAAAATTATAATAAAAAAGATGTATTTATAAATGTATATATATATATATATATATATATATATATATAATAGTACGTAAATAATAAAATATATACTTTTACCTTTCATTGTAACAGTAAAATCAATTATAGATGTATGAGCAAATACTTCTGGAGTATAAAAAGGATTTGGTAACTTTGTCGTGATATAAAGTCTGAAATCTTTGCTAACATCCACTTCTTTATCACCTAATTTAACCTTTTATAACAATAAATTACATTAAATATAAAATTGTGTCTAAAATTACAGTCTAAAATATCATTTTACCCTATAAGAGGATCCTATTTTTATAAAATTTTTTTCCAATAAATTGTCTAGCACTGGATCTATTTCTTCTTCTACATCTTGAATTAATAATGGTCGTCCTATCGATATAGAATCTTCTAAATGATTTTTAAAATATTTATGTGTGAACCATGTTATCTGAAAAGTATATTAAAGAATGTTAAATTAAGTTTGTTACATTTTACAATTTGATTCTATTTACGTACCTGTAAATCAAACTCTCTTTCTTTATTTTTAATCCATGTTTTGCCTTGCAATTGTGGGTCGATTAATAAAGGATATCTCGATGCTTTCGTTACAATTATTCCATTTTGAACTGATAATTCATCGGTTGGCAGACCTTGCAAGTTCCATTCACCAATCTATGATAAATTGAATGCTTATTATTTGCTCATTACGAGTTTCAATTATGTTTCTTGTGTAATAATTTATATAATTTTACCGTAGCTGTATCTGTCAATGCATTAATAATGTTTACATTAAGAGAAATTGGGATCTTTCTATCTTGTATAAAGTCAAACCATTTTCTTTGTAAAAGAATTCGGAATTCTTGATTAAATGGCCCGCAATAAGAAAGAAATCCAGTGAATATCAACACATCTCCAACGAGACATTCTATTTCTAATTTAAATGTAGTAACTTGCTCCGTCCATCTTATTTTTTCTCCAGATAATCCTTCAATCATAGCGGTTGCGGTATCCATTTTTTCTTGACAAATATCAGCTTGATCCACAATTTTCTGATAAAATACATTATTATATGTGAAATAATTGTTTAATTTCAATTTCATTAATATCATACGAAAAGAACGGTTTGTTGAAATATCTAAAAATAATATAATATTCTAATATATAATATTCTAAAAATTTAGTTACATATTGATCTAAAAATAATTTTGTTAAACTATTAAAATAAATATGCCGAACACTTAAATTGATTATTAATGTCAAAAATTTTTGCATTTATTGATCATCATGCTTGAGTTTCTTTAATATAACGTAGTTATTTTGATGATCCAATAAAATTTTCGAATTTACGTCTACCTAAATTTTTTAATACTTCAACAAAATTCGTTCTTTTTGTACAAATATATTTTTTATAAATATAGCCTCATGATTGTTATCGTACTTGTCGTTCTTGCATCACGGCATCGAAATCACTTTGTACTATCGTTAAAGCGTCGTCCTTTTCTTTCAATAATTTTTCTGCCTCGAGTAAATTTTTGTTAGCTTTCTCATAATACTTTTCTTGTACAAGAAGATTTGCCTACAAAATGATTCTTTCTTATTACACATTTCCTAACACTATATATTTTTGTATTGAAACTGGAGAACGACCAACGTTATCGCTTAGAAAATGAGAGATAAAAATGAATATATTATATAGTTAGGTATAAAGCATTCTCTCAATTTTGCTATAAGCCATGAAATGACATCGGCTGTCTCATCTCGCAACAATGTTTATTAATAGGGAATACCTTCAAAGGTAGCACATCTTTATTTATTTCATAAAAAGCAACCATAGAGATGGTCCACTGTATGAGACCCGCAACATTTCCGCAGGCTTGCTTTGCGGCTTCATAAGTATACATGTGAAAATTCAAATATGGCATCATTAAGTCGATAGTTTCACCATTAATATCATCCTTTGGAAAATTTTGTAAATTATATAAAAATCTGGTATCAGCTAGAACCTGCGAGAAATAACATGCTCAAATAATATCTTATTAACATAAAATAAGACATGATTTTTTTCGATTATTTTCTATTATCATAAAAATTAATATATAAAGGATTTACCTTTAGTGATTCCGACCACGAAGGTGTTAGAAATTGATGTTCGTAATCCGGTTTGACTGGGTCCAGCTTTCGTCCAAATAGAATCAAAACACAATCCATTATGAGCGTAATTAAATACGGTGGTTTAGCCAATTTACGAACGGTAGCGATATCTACTGCTTTTATGGTCTGAAATATGTGTGTTGCTGTCAATGAACATTTGCATCAATACTTGACATAATAATAATATCAATTATTGGTCACAACACCAGCAATGCAGCTTCAGCTTCCAATAAAGCAGGTTCCGCACTTTTTAACTTCTGTTCTGCAATTGCCTTATCTTTTGCTATCACTGTCAGAATCGTTTCCGCTTCATCTTTTGACACTTGCACTTTTGCTTTCACAGTCTCAGCTTCTGTTTTTTTCTCATTTATAGTAACAATAATCTAAATATGTATTACATTATTACACATAAAATATAGGATCGGAATTTTTACTAAAATTGATATTTTACAAAAATATATTGCTTACCGCCTCCACTTGAATATTTTTTACCGCAATCTCCTCTTGAGTTTTTTCCAATTCATGTCGCAACGTATCGACCTGAACCGCAGCGTCAGTTAATTTATTTAAACCGCTACTCATACGAGAAGCAATCATGTTAATGTTATCCAAACGTTGCTTGTAAAACATTTTATAACTATCGAGAAACGTTAAATATGATCTCGGAGTCACGTATACTTGTCGTCGAAACCTGCATCCGTCGAAATTACATTAGCTTGATTGTATTTACGCACAGACGGTGAAGCACTGATGATAAGAAAATAGAAAAATAAACCTGTCGAAGTATTCTACACAGGTATCATTTACGTGATCTTGAATATCGCCCATAACTTGAATTAACTCTTGTTTTACTTCCGGACTACATATAACTTCATATGTGATTAGGAAGTGATCACTTACTGCGTAAAGCGCATCCCTTGGCCATCTCCAAAACCAATTTATCGTGCAACCAGATACAAGGGCAGGGAATTTTAATGACCGAGATCTGAATTTTGCACTGATCTGCGTAAATAATTATATATTACTATTATACAGATATAATACATACTTGACCCAGTAAAAGAATGAATAGAATAAATGCAAATATCTTTAACAATGACAAAACTCACTGGTGAAAAGCATAAGACTACATGCAAATTATTTCTCGCTTTCGATATAAAGTAATCGTAAAGATTGTCTTGCGTAGGAGGTCGTCGGGGATCAGCCTTTTTCATCAGTGGCGTAACAGTTGTCAAAATTTCATCTAACTCATCCTTCGCAAAAAGATTGGCTACTTCGCCAACGCTTAATATGTTGTTTATATATTCTAAAAATGCTTCATCTTTTACTTCGTTATCAGTGAAAATAAAAGTGAGACCTTTGCTGTCAGTACCAGCGGTCCGATACAATTTTCGCAAATCATCCATCAAGCTGGATATATTATAAACCCTGAAGATATAATTATATTCATATTATTTCTTCACATAGTTTCGCATCCAATGCGACGGAAAACATTTACATATTTCCGCAAAACTGCACGAAATAAAAGTTCCAACGCATAGCAAAAAAATTAAAAATTAAATTAAATTTTGTAATTATTTTCTACAATAAATACTCCGTGTTTTGCAGCTTCAAATTACGCTAAAACATTTAAATTTACAAGAAATTCGAGAAATATCAAATTCTGATTTTGATGAAAATTTGTATATATAATATGTGCGCGCGCGCGTGTGTGTGTGTGTGTGTGTGTGTGTGTGTGTGTGTGTATATTACGCGTAGATGAATTTAGGAAATATCAGTTACGATTAATAAATGATTTTAAGATATAATGAAAAAAACCTAGTTGCTTTACATGTAAAGGATAAAATCGCCCTTTGTATGTAAAAGCAACATTTTTTATATTTTAAAAATTATTTAAGATATCAAAAAATGTCTTATATTAACAAGAAGTTTTGCAATAAAATTATCTATTTATGAAAAATGTAAAATAATATTTTTAAAAAATAATTATTTCCAAAATTTATATTTTTAAAATTATTCTTTACAAATATTATTGACATAAATAAATAGAGGTAATTTCGTTATAAGACTTTTGTATAAATCATTTGTTAATATCTTGAATAGTTTTTCATATGATAGATATAACGAAAGAACTAATAATTGTTTTGCATAGAAAAGATGATTTTATCCCTTAAAACCATTTATTAGCCGTAACAGATATTTCCTAAATTTATTTATTCATGTAACTGCGTACAAAATTAAAATTTTATTAAAATCAGAATTTGATCACTTCATGAGATTGCTTAGTAAAATTTTGATATACTCGCCTGGATAATGTTATTTGAAAGAAGTTAAATCCTGCAATGAAGGATGCCAGTCGCGTTAGGCTCTGTTTTCCGGATCCTCCTATACCGACCAGCAACGCATTGCTCCTGGGAACTCCAAGTATTCGTGATATTCGTATCAAATGCACCATTGCGTCATGGAAGAATACCAGATCAAGATGCATACCGCGTATATATTCGTTAAATTGCTCCATATTTTGTTGAATTTTCGTAATAACAATATCGTAACTACGAGTGACACAAAAATATATATGCGTCTATCGGTTTTTAAATTCATTGCATCAGATAAAAAATTCGACTTGATGTACCTCGGTATCTCCTCATAAATCTTTGGTGCCTCTAATACAAAATCTTCTGGCTCTTCGCCTGTCGGTTCTGGTGGTTCGCGCAAAAAGTCAACGAAATATGTCTCAATTGGGGAATAATATTGAAAATCTGGACCTAACATTTTCTCCGCGGTCCGCCGCAACGTATTTTGGAACCAATCTTTATCAACGGCAATAATGAAGCTAGGAATGATTTATTACATATTTAAGCAAATTAAGTATGTAAAAATATATTTATTTCATAATTTTAAGAACAACGAACCGATCTGCTATCACACGCATGCATTCATGCTCCCATAATTTCAGCAGTGTTGTTATAGATTCACATTCCTCTCTCTTTATTCTGAGTATTCCCTCCCAAATACGAGAGAGATCATGCAAGTTAAAAACATAATGGAATTTGGCTGGAGTTGGTAACATCTTCACTTTAGTTTGCTGCCATAATATTCGAGTCAGTGGAATAAGCTTCGGTAAGAAATTAACGATGGTTTCGGAAAATCTTGTAACACAAAAATAACCTTGGCCAATAACATCTGTAATTTTAAATTCATTAATCATATTGTTGTTTATTTAAATTCATTTAAATTCATATTGTATAAATTATATTTTATATGTTTTATTAAATGAGCGATCATTGTTAAACATACTGAAAATTGTATCCATGGATTTATTGGACGGTAATGTGCAATTAAAAATATTGAACTGCCGTTTCAATCGCGGCGGAATATCATTTCGTCCTCCACCCGGATGATGCATCGCACCTAGTAACATAATATCTTGCATAGTGCAAAAGTCGCCCGGTTTATCCAGGGAATAGAACCCTTTGTACTCCATTAACTGACGTACGATCTCGTTTGTAATTTGATCGCCCCATTCGTTTATATCCGGCATATTTATATCATCAATAAAGATGCTCATTTTGCGTCCACCAGGAGGACCATAAATGCTACCCACTCGCTTTTCGACGTAGCTCTCGAATACACGCTGAAGAAGCGATAGATAAATTCACACGATAAAATAATAAACATGGTCATATATCATCACAATTAAAAGTAATTTATGTAATTGATTTATTTACTATATCATGCTATAACGTTCGGCTTATCATAAGGTTATTCTTTTTAACTGACCTTTTTACATCGTTCATTTTTTTTATTTTCTCTTCAATGTAAAGAAAAAAAAGAAAATATGAATGCAAGAAGTTCAATGCAGTTGAAAAGAACGAACTAATTACCTGAACCATGTTGGGCGTGGATGCTGAAGAAAAATTGAAAAACTTATTTAAATGGTATTCGGGATCGTGCTTAGACATGTAGCTTTTTATCATTACGCTTTTTGCGGTGCCGGCTTCTCCTATTGCATAATTAATTCGTATTATGTAATTAATGCTATAATAACATTACATATTTAATTTATTAAACATTGACTAAACAAAACTTATTATTGAAATTATGCTATACGCTCGGCTACCTATTAAAAGTACTGCCTTTCCCTGCTTTGCAATAGTATCAATTAAATATAATGTCCTAGTATTATCAACATTAGGAACAAGAATAGTATAATATTCTAAGATACGGTCTGAGGGATACTCAAATTCTGGCACTCTTTTATTCCAATGTATCCACTTTCCATCGTCTGATACTAAGTACTCAAAAATAGTTTCATCTTCCTATAAATTGAACATTTATAAAATAAAAAATATTAATAATGGTATGCATTATACTTTAAGTGATTAAAAAAACATCAAATTGTCATATACGAACTGAATACTTTGGCCAGTTACAATTTGATTCATGATTCACAAGATATTCCTGTAATGCAAATCGTGCATCTAATTCTAACATTGCACCCAAACTCCACATAAGAGAGAATAGAAAAAGTTTCTCGATATGTTGCTCAGATAATACTTCTAGAAATTATAATTTTGATGAAATATTTGATAAGTACTTAATAAATATAATTTAATTATAAAGTAAAATTATTTAATTTGTTTTGTTATATAAAAATTATTGAAAATTTTCTAAATACAAACTATTTTCTTAATAATATATTAAAAAATAGGAAATTTAAGAGTAATGAATTATAAAAATATTTAAAAGAAGTACGTAAATATAAAGTGATAAAAACAATATGTTCTAACAAAGTGCTTGCTGTTGGACGTTAATATTACATAGCCATGTTGAGTGAATAAATATTTGAATGTAAAAGAGAAATTCTCGTATTTACTAGTTGGGTCGGAATTTCCAACATTTAAACCTTCCAATAAGTCAATACACTGCCGTATGTAAATTGCTTCCAAAAGCATCATTTTAGTATGAAGCTTTATTTGAACGAATGTGTGGGCATCTCCGTATATTCTATTAAATAATGCTCGTAGCACTCGAGCCTCGTTGTTGAAACATTTTTTAAGCCAACCCTGTATTGAAAGTATTGTAACATTACAATCAACTACTGCAGAGGAAAGATCTCATTATTACAAAATCCCAAATCCATATTACCTCTAAAATTGAATTCCATTTTAGCACAGAGGCACTGACGAATATCATTCCCATACGCGATATAGTCGCTGGGGACGCGTTATCCACATTGTCAGGTTCAAACACTAATTTAGTATTTGCTGCCATTACAATACGATCCCCATTTGCCAATGTTAACGTTTTATTGTCATCCAGAACAGAATTTAAATTTTCAATCCATACTGCGTCAACGGGACCGTCTAATACTATCCATAAATTTTCTGTTTTTTTCGCTTGCATGGATCTTCGCCATATAGTGGAAAATATACCATCTGTCCAATCATTCGTCGCAACATCGAGTTTTCCAAACATTTGAGATGCAGTTATCGCCTATTTTTTTTTTAAAGAATTATTTCTATCGATATATTTAATAAAATGAAGATCTATTATTCATTAATAAGTACTGACTTTTGGATTCATCCTAATTTCCTTATGCGGCATACCCATTTCTGTTAGAGCCCTCATTAGCGCCCACATGCATCGCGTTTTACCAGATCCTGTTGGTCCAAGAACCATTAAACCATGGCGAACGAGGGAAGTCTCGTATAACTGCAAATCATCACATCATTATTTTTTTTCTCAATAATCATATAACTTATATTAATTCAGTGTATATACTTAAACTCTTAAAAGAAATTTTTTTTAATTATTTACGCAAAACAATTTTGCTTAAAAAACTACAGATATTTGCTTGTAAAATTTTCAAATAGAAGCAAACAAAAAGGATAGACTAAATAAAGAGATATAAGTAAATTTAAACACACACATATTAAAAATAAGTACCTGAACAGTTTTCAAATTCCATTCGCTGTGATTCATTATTCCAAGAGTAACAGTGGCGTTAGCTATTGCTTTTTGTAATTCTTTATACGTTTGAACTGTTAACTTTATACCCGGGAACATATCTTCAATAAGTGACATAAAAAGAGATTCGTCTTCATCCACTAATTTTGATAAATTCATATCACTAAAAAAAATTAATTCACGTTTTAATTATCTCTCCTTTCTGTATATTCCAGTAACTTCTTAGAACAAATTCTATACAACAATTGATAACATTTACCGTAGTACTCTCATAAGCGTGGTTTCCTCGGAATCAGTAGGATGCGCGCGTTTCTGAGCGCCAAGTGTGCGTAAGCACGACAGGATGTTCCTTAATCCAAAATCGTAATGTACCTGCTTGCTGAGCTGCTCCTCGCACAATTTGTACAATATGAAAAATTTTCGCGCTAATACCACGTTCTCTTTGAAGCCACACGCCGCGAGTTTTACTCGCATTATGATCTAAGCAAGTGGAATTAAATTTATATATTAAAATTCATGTACGTTAAATTAAATTTTATAATGAGGAAAATTTTATAAATCCGATTTTTTACAGGTTATATAGGTACATACTAGTATTCCATATTTTAACATGTAAAAAAAAAGATAATATTTTCACGTACTTGTCTGTCAGGAACCATCATTGCCACACTTCTAAATTGTATTTTTAAATTTTCCGGTAGTTCTTGTCGACCAGCATATCCGGGATTCATTGTAATAAATATTCCTAATTCATAATTGAGTTTATATGTGTCGCCGTCACTGCAAATAAAGCGTACATATCCGTTTGTTAAAGATAATATAATTTATAATTGAAAGCTATTTAACAAATATTAATATTTATTAAAAATCGTATAAATAGTAAAATAAAAAAGATTTTAAAAAACAAAAATTTATTTTTTGAAAATATTAACTTTTAAATTTAAAACGAAAACTTAATTTTATATAATAAATAATTATCAAATTTATAATTTGATTTTGACGTTCTTCCATTTTTACAAATAAAGAACGCATCGATCAATTTGCTAAAGACATCATTTACTATAATATCATTTACTATAAAAATAAAAACTATTTAATAAATTATTTGTTAAAAATTATGTAATTAGTAAAATTAGAAGAAAATTAAAAAGAATGAAACTTTATTTTACAAAGACATTTTGTTTTAAATTTCTGTATTTAAAATAAAAAATTTAATTTTATATAATAAATAATTATTGATTCTTTGTACCTAAACAAGAAAAATGTCTTTCGCTCTTTTCGCGCATTGAGCACGATTGCTATTTGCTGTGCAGCGACGGATAGCACCGGTAAAGCAATTCGATTAAATTCATCAAAACATCCCCAGCTACCGGATTGCGCTAGTCCTTTAAATATTCTGCCTAAACCTCGGAAATCCATTTGATCGGAACAATTAAAAACAATAACGTATTTTCCTAGTGCTTTTCCCATGTCTTTCGTCGTTTCTGTTTTACCCGTGCCAGCCGGACCTGCGGGAGCTCCTCCAAAATTCATTCCTAAAAAAAAATATTTGCAAAGGATGGTAAATGACATGACGTAAAAACAATCTAAATTCTATTTTACACGCAATACTATTTTTCTTTTGCTACAAGTATCATACCCACGGCTTGTGCCAGTGTTATGTAACACCTGTCTGTAAGCGGTGTAATCGCAAGTCGATCTGTGCAACCTAAAAATTCATTTTGATAAACGAAATCTATGTCGGTTATCTTAATTGTAACGTCCTCTGTCTCAGCATCATAATAGAATCGACCCTGTTTCAACCATTCAAAATCATATATATTTCGAATTTTGAGACGACATAGATCATCAAATATGTCTCTGAAAAAAATTTATAAATGCAATTTATTTTCCATATTCTTCATCACATAATTGATAATTACGAGACGTAAGTATTTAAATAAATAAAATACCTTTGATGCACGTGTATGGTTATTAAACATTCATATTTTATTCTGGCATACTTTGTAAGATCTTTAACGGTTATTTCTATGAGATTATTTAGCAAATCTAGAAACCATTGATTGGTCCTTTTCATTATCGTTCTATCACGTTTGGCTGCCGTGATTGCTATTTCGGAATCTTGTGTCCATAAAACTTGTAATGCTAATAGGCCCGCCTGCGAAAAATGAATATATATCTAGAATTGATGTACAATTTCCGTCTATTGAATATACGAACTTTGTATATGCACATCATCTTACTTGCAAAACAGAATTCTCTATCAATAACAAGATGTCGAATTCAGGTGTACGAAGTGATTGCAGCCCTAGCGAAATCACAGCACCAACGGATTGCTGATGGACTGTTAACAGAACGTTTAACCAGTTTTCCACGCCTCCTGTACATCCAACTTCTTTTTCCAATATTATTTGTTCGTCTTCTCGTGAAGACATTGCTATAATTTTATCATATTCCTTTTCGGAAAACTTCAGCTGTATATAGAAGATAATAAAGTTTGTGAATATTAAAAAGATATAAGATAGAAAAAGCTTAATATAGGACTTAATATAAGAGCATAATAATTATTTTTGTAACGTGGCAAAATCGTCATACTGTAATTTTATTTTACTAATGCATCATAATCTCATTACTTTTGCTATATTATCAAAAAAGCCATCAAGATAATTTTGAATCGTATGACAATCCGCTGCTTGTCCAAGAATTTCCAATAAAGTGGGATCTGATACGAAGCAGAATCTTGGAAAAATAACTCGCTTGGTTTCCAAATAACTGTATTAATAGAATTGTTCTAATTAAACTTGACGGTCTGCGAGCAGTTATTTCATTTTGCCAATAATATGTATACCCGCTAAGAGATTTTTGGCACGATTCTAACTGTTCCAGTAAATGAGGTAAAAACTGGCTCATTGTCTCATCCCCAGTACATGTTTCCACCGCATTTAATACTTCGTGAGCGCGAAGCATAAGTTTGACCCAAGCCTTATCGATCATCTAAAACGTAAAAATATACAATTATATCATTTTATTGATCACAATGTCATCACAAGTTTTTTTAAAAGTACGTTAAAGCGTTTTGCTTCAGTAGGCAATTGCTTCGATATGTCGCCACCAATAAATACTGCTTCTAGATAAGCCCACAAATTCTGTACTGTTAACCATTTCGCCAATATTTCCGACGTATTGCTAAGCTTGGTCTGCCACAACTGAATCTCTTTTTTAAACGGTATATTGTAACTGTATAATGTTGAATATGAATATAATATATATCATAAAACATAATAATTTTTCAGATTTAGAATAATCTAATATACCGATTTGCCATCAAAGAGCTTATGAGCATTAAACTGTCTTCCAGTAGCGCTATTATTTCAGCCGTTTCAATACCTTTCAGCAATAATTCGCCTCTTTGCTTGAAAAAGGAAAATTGCAGACTTATAACAGCCCAATCCGCAATTATTTGCTTCAATTTAAGTTCGATATCTTGTTCCTTCACTGCGCTAATACATATGTCCTACAACATATAATATTTGAGCATAATTTTTATATTCTATTGTAATATATTGTAATATACAATAATTTGTAAAAAATATATATACATATAATAAGTATTCACTAATAATTGAAAGCTTATAATTTTGCAATCTAATTAAGCATACCTCAACATCATCTTTATATTTCAACAAAGGTGCCTGCATAACGTTTGCTAAAGTAAACTTTTCAGATTCCACATCAAAGAAATATTGACAAAGTTTAGTTAGTTTATTCCAGTGTCTGTCTTTCATGGCTTTATTAGCCATCATCTCTAGCAGTGGGCACATTTCATTGAAATCGTCAATTTTCTTTTTTAGATCGACATATGCGGGCCATTCTCTCATAGCTTTAGGTAACTTTCGACATCTAAAATGATATAGCACAATATTATTTTAAGAATTTAATAATATCATATTAAAACATTTTCATATAATTAAATCTTATTAAATGCATGTAAATCAATCTGACTTACTTATTTTGGAAGTCGGTCAATTCAGTTATAATTGACTCAATATCAATTTCGGACCATGGAATATCATAATAGCTATCGATAGTGCGCATAACTTGCAAATACAATGTATATAACTTCTGCAATAAATTGAGTTCTTTTTTTCTCTGATGTAGAGATGGATATTCTGTTATTTCTATGCCGAATAAGCTTTCGCCACTACTATAAGTCTCGTACCTTTCCCACAGTTCTTCAAAACGCGCTTGAAACAGGATAACTCTTAAAACACGGACAAAAAAAATTATATTATTATTAATATATTATTTTATTTAAATTTAAGAATATTAGTTTTACTAAAATTAAACATTTTTTATCAGTATACTATACACCCAATTTTGCAGAAAATACGAGATACTAAATGAAACATTATACCGTTCACTGGCTTCTTTTGCGACTATTCCTTCAACCATTGGGCCATTAAGTTCAAAATCAATGTCAAAATGAGCTACCTTCTTTTTAAGAACCGTAACTCCATCAATAAGTTCCTTTTTCAATGGGTCTTGCATTTCACATATAACTGTTTGAACTTTCTTCGCCTATAAAAATATAGATATTACTTATTGAAGAGAAAGATGAAAGAGATTGCTTTGAAATATAATTATTATTAATATATACCTATATTAATATATATATATTATTAATACATACCTATATTTATATATATTGAGTAGAGAAAGGTTCTTTGAAAAAATAATTATTAAAGTATATATCAATAAATATTAAACAGAATTAAATTATAAAAACAAATTAATACCATATTGAGCATGTTGTTAAAATTGTATCTCAATCCGTCTACTATATCTTGATCTTCTTTTAATATGTCGATATTAAATTTTCCCATTAATGTATAAGTCTCTTCAATCAGGATTAGTTCCATGTCTAGTGATATGAAATCATCTCGTATTTCTGCCAAGCATTTCATTGCGACTCTAACATCTTCTAAATCCTTAATATGCCTCGCTAGAACTTTATTCTTTTCAGAAATATAATCTATTATTTTTTGAAATTTTTTCTTGTACGTATTTGATAACATGACACCCAATGACTTTTTCCATGCATTTGCTTCGACGAGAAGTGCTAATTTTAATTTATCTATAAAATAAAGGAATTCTTAAATAATTAAAAAAAAAAAAATTTTTTTTTACCTAAATTAAGTAATATAAATATGCTATAATATAATAGATGAAGTATACATAAAATATTTATGTATATTTCATCTATTGTTAAAAATAATAATCGAGGCGTGCTAAAGCAAATGTCATATTATTAATGACTTTTTTAAAATTTTTTAGGAGAAAAAAAACTTTTCCTTTTTCTCTAAAAAAATTATCTTAATAAGTACAGATATGAACAATCAGTCTCTGTATGTGCAAAATTGTTTATATGTATATTTAAATAATTTAAACAGAAACCATATTAAAACTATTAAAATTTTAACATGTAATCCAAGTAAAAATGCAAGTCAAAACGTTGTAAGTTCAAATACCAATTGCACAATAGACTTACAACGTTTTGAGTTGCGCTACCCATTTTTCTTCACTTGTAGCAACATTTTCTACGCCAAATATAGGCCGTGTTCGTATATTACTGCAATGCCAGTTGTCAGTACAGTATATAGTATACGTAACGGGAACTATAGATTTTCAGTACTGGCAGTCAACTGGCAGTAATATACGAACATGGCCATTATTAGTATATGATAGACCATTGTAAATAGTACATACAACTCATTCAGACAATAAAACGCATTTTCATAATTTGAGTAGGTACTTACAACATGGTATATCTCAATCATAATAATATCTATTATTTTCACATACCTGTGTCAATTTGAAGAGGACCAAGTATATGTCGTTCAGGTAAATTTTGTATTTCTATTATTAAATCTTCATATTCTATAAACTTCTCTTTGATGTCTTGTATAAGAGGTTTGGTATCAATAAAGGCTTGTATAATGTCATCTCTATTTTCTGTCCATATGTAGGAATATCGCAAATATGACTAGAATAAAAAAAATGATTATAATTATGATAGTAGAACATTAGTATATAAGTTACAACACAAGTATAACATTGCTGTACAAATAAAATTAAACTAAATGTAATAATGTATATGTATATGTATAAACATATGTGTATACGAAATAGTATTTATATTATATACGTTGCCAACTTTGAAGACATCATCTCTTAACATTAATATTAAACCTTGCAGACTTATTGAACTGCGGATTATGTCTTTGTGCTCGGACACGTTTTGAAAATAGGTATTGTGCAAAATTTTATCTGGATAACGTAAACAAATAATAAATAGTTTCAATAAGTAATAAATTTAGTATAAATAAATTTAGTCTCCTATATTATGATAATATAATAATAATAGAAAGTAATCTATCTAAAGAATTGCTTAATAATGAAAAAATATAAAATAAAAATTTATTATATGTGTTTGTCATTACTATTAATTCAAATATTTTATAATATTATAGCCTATTTACCGGGCAATGTAACTCGTGCATTTGTAGAATATCGTTGTCCCCACGTATACACTTTCTTGTGTGTTTCTATAATATTTGTTATAACTTTACCGAAATTATTTTGCAACTCTTCTATTGATGGAATAATTACGATATTTGGTATTTGTAAAACGAAATATGTCATCATGATCGGAATTTCTTGCTCTATTGCAATATCTTTAACTAATACGCTGAAACATAATTTATATATTAATTTATTTTTTGTTTTGTTCTTATTTTACTATTATATATTTAAAATAAAATAACATAAATATGAGAAGTACTTTACAGAAAAATATAAATATGTTAAATACGCTCATTAAATTAAATACCTCATAATGGTTGCTTTCTTCTTTAATAAGTCTAAAGAATTTTTAGTACACTTTACCAAAGCTTCTATTAACTTATTATTGTAATACGCAAAAAGTTCCATACAATCATTGTGCACTTGATTTATCTTAACTTTATTTGTTCTTTCGATGTAACCAAAGCCTATATTTAACAAATTACTTTTTAATCATAACAAAATAATATAAAATTATGTGAGTACTTTTTAAAATTTTAAAGGATACAATACCCGGCTCAAATGGTCCTTGTATTAATCTGCTTTCGGATCCGACTTGTTTATACATTTTTTCAAGATCCATCCAATTGTATTTAATGTCTTGCACGATAGGATCAGTTATAAGATCTATAAATTTATTAATAATCATGATAACAGCCTTCTCTATCGCCGAAGATTTGATTTCCAAATCAATTGCTATTTTATCTGTAAAAGCTACATTATCGGCTAAAAGTTGTTCTGAACTTTTCGGGTATTCATCTAATTTTAATAACATTGTTTCCGCAATAGATTCAAGTACTTCATCTACTCTCGCTTCTTTCATATCTTCCACCTCCTTAATGAATATCTGCACATTTTTTATCTCTTCTTCTATTTTAGCGCATGCATTGGAAAGTTTTAATGAGGACCATGTAATTACTGATACACACGGTTGAAAAGCAATTTCAAGATTGACAAGTGCAATTTTTATTAAATTTAAAAATAAAATCGGGATTGATTTTCTGCACACAAATACAATAAACGCATGAATATATACATACGTAAAAATTTTATTCGGCATTTATCAAGTAAAATTTGTATACCTAAGAGCATCATTTTTCTTAAGTAATTTTTTCACTCTTTCATATGATGAAAATATTTTATCTTCGCAAAAGATTAACATTTGTATAAAATCTGGCACTTCCAATCCAAATTTAGACATATGTTTGGATTCTCGTATTATTTCGTAAATGTAAGAGTCAAAATTTAGACAGTACTTATTTGTCTTTGGATGACGCACAAGCATAGGGGATGATAATGCCAAGCGAACCTAATAATTGAAAACTATATCTTTAAACTAATCATTTTAGGATATAATATGCATGTGCAAAATTTCCGAAATATTCTCTTTCCCAAAAATGAAAAATTTACAAATTGAACGTTTTTACTTTTTATATTTACGTCATCACACATTTTAAACTCTGTAAAAAATTAATTTAAAAAATACTACACTGTTAAATAAAACTATTTTATTTCACATGTACAAAAAAATATACTTATTTAATTCCAGAAATTAAAATATTTAGAAAATATCTACTAACTAATATATAAAAAATCAGTTTAAATAATAATGATGATACTTACAATATTAGCCGAATCGTACCACGCTTTGTAATATATTAATTCGTAATGAATAAAAACACTGATGAGTGAATTATATATTTTAATACACTTCTGCATAGAATCATGCGTAATCACTCTATGGTGTGATCTAAACATATTCATAGGAACTTCAATGCGTTTATATAATTGCCGGATCCATAGGATTCGACCAGCTACAGGTGGAATATTCCTTGGTATAGGTGGATCGGATCTATTTTCATTATAACTATCGCGGATATCTTCGATTTCTTGTTGAAACATCGAAACGAGTTCTATGCATTTTCTATCAATTCTCAGTTGCTTGAGATTCAATTTTTGAAACCTGTGGGACGACGTAAAATTAATTAAATATCTATCCTTTTTCTATGAACTAGTGCACGAAAAGAACGATTTTGCTGAAGTATCCAAAATTATTTATTTTTAGATACCAGATCTAAAAATAATTTTGTTAGACCAAAATAATTATAGGAAAGCAATATTTTGGCATGCAAAATTTTGGCATTCTAGCAATTAATTTGCAACATCTTACATAATTATTTTGATAGTTCAGTAAAATTATTTGCAGATCTCTATCTAGCTAAATTTTCAAATATTTTATTAGGTGTTGGAATTAATTCGTAGCGTTTTACAAGTGATGGGAAGTACTTTCATTAATGTATTTTTTAATGCTCATGTGAAATAAATAACATTCTTTCATTAAAAAACGCTACGAATTAATTCCAACACCTAATATTTTTAGATATTTCAGTAAAATTGTCATTTCTGTATATGGATACACTTTTGAAACATAAAAAGAAACAGCTGTATGTTGAGACTTCGGTAAGGGGATTTATAACTGATACATATTTAAGTCGGTCTTAATTATCATATTAAGATATTATAAACCAATCACAGAACTATACTAGTATCTTAAAACAGTTTATAGATATGTAATATACATTGAAATAAAACCGATGAATGAAGTGATAAAAAGGAAGAAAGAGAACTTAATGCAAACTAGTACAGGGAGTGCAGTGAAAAAGAACAGACTATATGATATATTCTTACATAGTAAATATTTTTACATGGTTAAACAATAAATTTGTTAAGAAATTTGTACTACCTAGCTATTAAATATAAACTCTGCGTTATGTTTGGCATGAGAGAAAGGCAGTTATAAAAAAACGTTCGTAGTTCCAGGTCGGTTTCCGCTATGTTCTTTTTGAATTCATCATAATCAGTATCAAAATACGGTTTTCTGTGATCTAAGGGATCATACTTCTGAGAAAAAATCTTTTTAAAATGATCCGTATACTTTTGTGCGTATATATTAATTCCTTCTATAGTCGAACTGTGCAGAATGGAATACATCTGTACTGCTTCAAAGATGTCCATGATCTATATTATATATTGTAAATAATAATATAATTCTAAAAATATCGTGACTTATTTTTGCACTGATTATTACTTACTTACTTTTATTATTCTTGTCTTAAAAGTGGCAAATTTTCCAAAAACATACATTTCAGATACCTCGAAACGCTTCTCATCTGGAGATTCCTCGACCTTCTTACACATATCATCGTAACAGTTATGATATGTCTCGCAGAGCTTAATACAATCCTGCAAAATAATCGCTGATACTATTTAATTTCTAAGGATAATAGTACGTAATAGAAGAAAACATTTCTCTTATATGTTTTCGTCTTATTTTTACCTTTATTTTAGATATCATAACACATTTTGATTCGTTCCAAATGCTTAATTTTCCATTCTCCGTTAAGTATGCTTTACATGCTAATATCATCTGATTAGTTATCTAAATAGAAATTGGAAATCGATGTGAAAAAAACTAAATAACTCATATAACAATATAATATTATAGTTATTAGTAAACTGAATATTAACCATCGGACAGTTTTAGCAGTCGATCGTTATTCATTAAAGAGTTATTAAAAAATAAAGTAAAAAGGTTGAGATTGCCATCTGTAAATGTGTAATTTATGCGAAATATGCATTTTATGCAAAATATTCAGTTAAGTATTTTGCATAAATATCCGCAGTCTAGTTATAGGAGTTTGGTGATTTGCTTCAAAAGCTCCAACATTTGAACTTTGAAGCTCCGAAGATTTGAAGCTTTGGCATTAAAATCTTCGAAGATCAAAGGTTCAAAACGTCGAACTTTGAAACTTCGATACTTCGATACTTCAATCTTCGAACTTCGAAGAATCAAAATTACAAGTATTATACAAGTATTATACAAGTATTAATTGTACAAGTTGCAGCTAATAATAAATATATTTTCTTAAAAAGATATACAAGATATATGTATATTTATAAATATATATATATTATAAATACATTTTCATTCTTTTTATTCCCATAAATATATTTTTCAAAGAAACTTTAAACTTTATGAAAGTTTTTTAATATCGAAGATTGAATCCTTTTAAAATTTCGAATCTTCGAAGTTATCAAAAGTAAAATAATTCTAATAATTCTTTATTTTAATAAATAACAATTCTTTTTTAATATAATAATTTTTTGATATTAATCGACTTTTAATTACAATTTATATTCTACGATTCAAAATAGTGATTCAAATTTTTAATCAATTATTTTAGGAAAATAGACATACCTTTACATATACAGCGGTTACCATCTTCCTAGTATTGAAAAATCGCGATGTAGCGTAAATCATCCTTATAGCATACATAAGCGCAGGTAAGTAATCTCCTATTTTTGTTGGATCTAATCTGTACAACGGTTGTGTAAATTTTTCTAAACCGTACAGATACTTTACGTTATCTTGAGATAAAATATGCACCATCGTAACATGATCTTCTAATTCCTTCCATTTCTGTAAATACAAAATACAGCAATATTCAATTCAATACATATTACAAATTAATAGTTGCATTAAATTATACCTTGATAAGTTTTGATTTCGCTTCCGTCAGCAATTGTATAAATGCTTGCGTGTAATTGGACTTTATGTGATTCATTATCGAATAAAACTGACTAAACAATCGCCGCCAATACGCAAGTTCTGCATTTGGTCCTACAGTTTCAGTTTCTCTGCGCAATTGTTGACTTTCAACAATAGCCTAGAAAATTGCTTTATAAAACCATGAAATTTTATTAAAAGATATATAATTATTCAGTCATACCCGTTCCATCAACTTCATCCATATTCGGACATCAGCTTCTACTGCTGTAATAACGTCCAGTTTACGAATGCTCTCTTTAAAATTTTCAGGTAGCGCCAAATATTTCTGATACAAATCCCAATTAATTTGAAAGTATATGACATTTTTTAAATCTATTTTCGTCACTATGAGAAAAAAAGAAAAATATTATCTTCCATCAGAGAAGAATTTATATGATAATTAAATTAGGATTTACTTTTAATAATTTCGAAAAAAAATTCACATTTTGGAAATTAATTCCGAACCTTTTAAAAGTTAAGATGCTTCGAAGTTTCCAAAATTTCGAAGCAGATAGTTTTAAAGCATCGCAAATTTTGAAGGTTTAGGATTAACTTTGAAAATTTGAATTTTTTCAAAGCTTTAAATTTTCGAAATTGTCAAAAATAACAGTTTTAAAACAATACAGATCGTAAGTTATTTACTATCAAGAAATATGCAGAAATCTTTAAAATCGCCTATAAAATCATTCTTTATCTTTTCTCCGGCTTCGCTTTTCGATAATTCTCCCCATTGCGTATTAGCAGTTAACGTTCGTGCATGCAAACGTGAAATTAAATCAGATATTCCTGCCAGCGCACTTTGCGATGTAGGATCCACCTCCGCATATGCATAATATGTTTCCTACGTGGGACGTAAAGTCAAAAGCAGAAGAAAAAATTTTGAGAAAAAAAGAACAAAGAAAATGAAAAAATATATAAACTGCAAATTTTTTAAATAAATATATTTTATTGTATAATATATATCTTATAAATGCAAAAGTAAATTAAAATTCTTGTAATATGTTATGAGTAGTTATTCCAGAAAATCTGCAAATCTCAAAATGATTCAAGATGGCTCTCATAGAAAAAAGTCACAGTGCGAATGTTTGCTTTATCACATTTGTGATAAAGATATGACATCATTATGTAGTTGTCATAAAAGCTGTACCTTGTGATACTATTATGAAAAATACAGATCAGAATAATGTGATCTCACGTTTACTTTTTGATAATCTCGTAGTGATATCAGAGTTTATGATAATTTAATAATTGTAATTCTATTATGATGTGAATGCGATTCTTTTGCTATGAATAGATGCTTTATATTAACTTACATCAAGTAACTGTTTAATTCCAAATTCCAAATTTGATTTTAATCGATAAACTATAACGCATTTGCCTGAGAATTCTTCAGTAGTACCATCTGTTATGCAACAGCGTATAACTTGCTGTTCTTTAGCATGTCGCGGCGTCCATCGCCCGGATTCTGAGATTATGTAAATTCTATGTATAGTATCACGATGTAGCATGAAAATGTATTGTTAACGTAATCACCATCGTTAACGTTATATTAAAATTGCGCGTGGAAAAAAGGAACAGGAAAATATCCATCGTTATACCAAATGTCGGAGGATTCATAGGCTGAAGATATATAATAATGGCTTGTCTTCCACCTTCAGGGAAGAAACTGTTAAATACATTCACGTATTCGTCCTTGTCGAGAATTCCTTCTTCCAGGATCTCAGGGTCTGTGTTTAAAATGTATGCCACAGTCTCCAAGACATGTCGATGCGTAATCTTTAGTAATCCTTGCCTGGCATTGCGATTTTCTTTGAATTTTGTCTAAAAAGAAATTTAAAAGATAAAAAGACCCGCTGAACAAATTTCTTTTTAATTATATAACATTATAAAAAAAAATTACAGATTATTTTTTACATTTTTATTTAAGTATTAAGTGTATAACTATGTAAATTTTATATTCATGTAAATATCATCTTCTATTCTCTTAATTTTTTAATCTTTTAATAGTAGTAATCTTTTAATAGTAATAAGTTAATTCTTTTTTTTTTTGTAAACTTGAAGAGTAGCAAAAATAATTCTAAGATATTTCTAATTGTTTCTTTTTACTCGATTATATTAAAATTCTCTTGTAAAAAGTAATAAAAGTAATAAAAGTTGATATATTAAATATCAGGATTGTCCGTGAAAATATTATAAATCCTCAAAGGTATTTACAAGTCGTTCTTTTGTACTCTCCATGGGTAAATCTTCCCTTGCACCAATCCTTCTCTTTACTAACTCGGCAATTCGTTGGTCAATAGCTGGTTTCGTGTAATCTCGCGATGTGTTTGCCATTGTTGCAAAAAGAAATTATGAATGTCAACGTATCAATAAAAGACCTTAAACTAGATATATAACTACACAACTACGAATATGATGCGCTTAATTCTGACAATTCCTCTTCAGTCGGAAATTATGCGTATAAAGCAGGACGGATATAAATAAACGAACATCGTAGAGTATTTTTTCAGAAAAAGTTATTAAAATATTGTGAACATATTTTATCCATAGACATAGAATAGAATAGACTGAACTTTATCAATTTCATTGCATGTTTTTTTTGTTCTAAGCAAACGTATACATGAGGTATTTTTTTAAGATATAAAATATAAAATATTTTATTGATAAAATTGATAAGAAAATACATTGCATAACTAAAAAAAACAAAATGTTGAAAAATAAATGTCGGAAATAGGAAAGTTATAGATTTTAAAAAACTATTGATTCATACATATTATTATATATTTATATTTTATTATACAATAGATATTACATGTATTCTTAATATTATTAATAATTATTATTATTATTTTAATATTAGATAATAGTTAATATTTTATTTATTAATATTATTGATATT